TTGGGCAGTCGAGTCCAGTCTGAGAGAGAGAGTCCAGTCCAGGGGCGAGCCTTGAGAGAGTCCAGTCTTGGGCGAGTCTTGGTTCAGCCTTGTGAGAGTCTTGGGGACTTTTCCCCAGGGCGCTGTGTCTTATAGAGTGCTCCAAAAGATCGACTGAGACGAGAGTTGAAACGTATTTCGTTGTGTGTGTCTTATTTGACTGTAAAGTTAAAGTGACTTTCCCGATCCCGTACCTCAAGGGGACGAGATAGAGAGACGAGACGAGATTCCCCCCTGACAAGTGTGGAGAACCCCGAGAGAAGATATTTTACCCTTTGATACGTGGTGGAGAATCCGAGCAGGTGTTTAACACATACTGACATCCTGTGAAGAGAAGTGAAATGGCAAAGAGGTGTCTTTCTTGTGAACCAAACTAACTGGCTCGATGGCAGAGACGACTCGGAAACTGCGCTTGACGACTAACGGCTTTACCGAACGACACCGATGTACAACGCTGAAGAGATGAAGACTTCTGAACCCCTTATGAAGGACGAGTATCGTTAGGACTGTATAATTAAGAATTGAGCGACATTAAAGACAAGAAGATGATAAAGAACGACCCGGAATAACGCGACAAAAGAAGAAGACGCTTATAGACTTTGACTTTAGCTATTTGCTTGGAGAACCGCTCGTTGGACACTGTAACTGACACTGTATAACTCAAGACGTTGAACTCTTTTCACAATCCCAACACTATTGCTCAGTAATGTAATGTACTTGTTTGCTTTTTCTATCTTTTTTCTTACCTTTTTTCTGTGATGTCGAATTGTATGTATGTAAGCGCCCAGATTTTTGTTTTGAAATGATATTTAGTGACGTGCGAGGTCCTTTATAACGATTTAAGCGCGCCTCAGTGGACAAGTATTTGCAACACAGTGTTTTGAGTTTTGTGAATTTGTATGGTGTTTTAATGAGTTTATGAGTACGGATTATGATGGGGAAAGTAATGCCCTAATGAGTTTTTTAAGAGTTTTGAGATTTGTCGAGTACAGAGATATCGACGTTTTAAGAGTTGTTTTTGTTTATGTGTTGTTTCCGGAATGCTTCTGACGCTTTTTGAGTTGATAGCACCTTTGTAACGTTTTTTAATGTCTTTTTGAGGTGAGA